AGGGGGGAGGAGGCGCCTCGCCCCCCCCATGTGGAGTGACGTCAGCCGCTAATTATTATGAAATGGGGGGTGTCCATTTGGATGACGTCACCTTATAATGATTATTAATTAGGGGAGCTGTTCGATGTGGAGTGACCTCACCTGCTCATGATTATTAATGAGGTGGGAGGGTGCTCCATGTGGAGTGACGTCACCTGTTCATGATTATTAATGAGGGGGGCTGGTCGACGTTAGATGACGTCACGAGCGTTGCACACAGACATTCTTGGCTCATTATAGTCGGGAATAATAATGAAGGGGGGGTGTCCATTTGGGGCACGTCACCTGCTCATGATTATTAATGAGGGGGGCTGTTCGATGTGGAGTGACGTCACCTGTGCATGATTATTAGTGAGGGAGGGGGAGAGGAGTACTCCATATTGAGTGACGTCACCCGCTCATGATTATTAATGAGGAGGGGTGGGGGGGGAGGTGTGTCCATTTGGAGGACGTCACCTGCTCATGAATATTAATGAGGAGGGCTGGTCGATGTGGAGTGACGTCACGAGCGTTAAGGACAGACAATTCCTGGGTGATTACAGTCAGTGTGTGTGTGTGTTTATTTCCACTCGTGTGTCCCACATTGTCTTTTTGTTGTAATATTCAACGCAACGCACGTCAATCCACAATACAATTCGACATTGCAATACATGAAATAGGTTGTCCTTTAAGAAAGAAAAACCTAAAGCGTAAGCACGTTGTGCGTGTGTGTGTCAGTCAGCGTGTGTGTGTGTGTCAGTCAGCGTGTGTGTGTGTGTGTCAGTCAGCGTGTGTGTGTGTGTGTCCCAGTCAGCGTGTGTGTGTGTCAGTCAGCGTGTGTGTGTGTCAGTCAGCGTGTGTGTGTGTGTCTCAGTCAGCGTGTGTGTGTGTCAGTCAGCGTGTGTGTGTGTCAGTCAGCGTGTGTGTGTGTCAGTCAGAGGGTGCGTGTGTGTCTCAGTCAGCGTGTGTGTGTCTCAGTCAGCGTGTGTGTGTGTGTGTCAGTCAGTGTGTGTGTGTGTCTCAGTCAGCGTGTGTGTGTGTCAGTCAGTGTGTGTGTGTGTGTGTGTCAGTCAGTGTGTGTGTGTGTCTCAGTCAGCGTGTGTGTGTGTCTCAGTCAGAGGGTGCGTGTGTGTGTGTGTGTCTCAGTCAGCGTGTGTGTGTGTGTGTGTCAGTCAGCGTGTGTGTGTGTGTCAGTCAGCGTGTGTGTGTGTGTCAGTCAGCGTGTGTGTGTGTGTCTCAGTCAGAGGGTGCGTGTGTGTCTCAGTCAGCGTGTGTGTGTGTGTCAGTCAGCGTGTGTGTGTCTCAGTCAGCGTGTGTGTGTGTGTGTCAGTCAGCGTGTGTGTGTGTCAGTCAGCGTGTGTGTGTGTGTCAGTCAGCGTGTGTGTGTGTCAGTCAGCGTGTGTGTGTGTGTGTCAGTCAGCGTGTGTGTGTGTCAGTCAGCGTGTGTGTGTGTGTCTCAGTCAGTGTGTGTGTGTCTCAGTCAGTGTGTGTGTGTGTCAGTCAGCGTGTGTGTGTGTGTGTCAGTCAGCGTGTGTGTGTGTCAGTCAGCGTGTATGTGTGTCTCAGTCAGCGTGTGTGTGTGTCAGTCAGCGTATCCGTGTGTGTTTCAGTCAGCGTGTGTGTGTGTGTCAGTCAGCGTGTGTGTGTGTCAGTCAGCGTGTGTGTGTGTGTCAGTCAGCGTGTGTGTGTGTCAGTCAGCGTGTGCGTGTGTCAGTCAGCGTGTGTGTGTGTGTGTCAGTCAGCGTGTGTGTGTATGTGTCAATCAGCGTGTGCGTGTGTGTGTCTCAGTCAGCGTGTGTGTGTGTCAGTCAGCGTGTGTGTGTGTGTCAGTCAGCGTGTGTGTGTGTCAGTCAGCGTGTGTGTGTGTGTGTCATTCAGCGTGTGCGTGTGTGTGTTACAGTCAGCATGTGCCTCCCCTAGGCCGACTCAGCCTGAAACGAGTACCTGGTGTGGTGTGTAAACACCGGCACTGGGAAGACAAAGGCGGCCCTGCGTGGTGTTGGCCACCCATCCCCTCGTGTGCCGTTCTGGCCTTAATAGGCGCTACTCGTTTACAGCACTTGCCCCAGCAGCATGGTAAAGGCTATAGGGGGGACCTTTGCCTTTGTGAGCGGCAGAGGTTTGCTCCAACTTCGATGTCTGTGCAAGTGTCACGTGATCCCTTCTCTTAACACCGAACGCGAACTCCTTGGATTTCAACGTTCAATATGTTTTTATTATTATTATCATTTAAAAGACTTATATGTACATAGCAGATGCCAACGATAAATGAAAGGAATATTACGCGACAATCTTTACACACCCCCCCCATAAAAAAAAACTAAAAACAAAGTTCACAGTATGAGTACATCCTCGTGGTGGTGGTGGTGGTGAGTGGCGAGTGGTTTGTATACAGGCGCATGAGGGCAGCAGGTTAACAATTATGGGACGCGTGAGTGCGTGGAGAGCGGTGGCGCATCGGTTAGCGCGCTAACCGCTGCGCCACCCGAGTTCGATTCCAGCTCACGGCAAACACCACCCGGTGACTCGAACGAGTTCCTTGTGCGCGCTGTGCAAACATCGACCGCTAGGGAGACAAAGGCGGCCGGGCGAGGTGCTAGCCACCCACCCCTGTGTCGCTTCGGCTCTTCATAAGGTGCTCGGCTAACAGCACTGGCCCCAACAGTCTGTTGAGGGCTCTACGGGGGGAGGGGGGTCAGCTTCTTTGTGTTGTGCGGAGTGGGGGGGGGCATGAACAAGAGCACATCCGGGAGTTACACGAGGGTCGAGCGGAGAAGCGGGGGTCGGCAACGCGGGGTGGAGAATTATCGTCTCACTCACCCCTCCTGCCACCACCCCCCACCCCCGGCTCTCGTCACCCCCCCCCCCCGCCCCCCCCCCCCCCCCATTCTCAACCTCCGGCCCCCGCCCAGGACCTCCGCATGCATGCGACGACAACGAGCACCCAAACACGTCCATCGACATGCGGGAGGGGGGAACGCACCACCCTGAATCGTGTGTGTATGTGTGCATGTGTGTATGTGTGTATGTGTGTGAGCGTGTGTGTGTGTGCATGTGTGTGTATGTGTGTGTGGGGAGCGGTAGTGTAGCGGTTAGCGCGCTGCGCTATGAACCTGGCGACTCGGGTTCGATTCCCGCTCACGGCCAAAACCAGTGACGATTATCTGAACCGGTCCCGGGCCTCCCCTAGGTCGACTCAGCCTCAAATGAGTACTTGGTGCGGTGTGTAAACATTGCCACTAGGGAGACAAAGGCGGTCGGGCGTGGTGCTGGCCATCCACCCCCTCGTGTACCGTTCCGGCCTTAATAGGTGCTCGCTAACAGCACTTGCCCCTACAGTCTGTTAAGGCTATGCGGGGGATCTTTGTTGTTTTTGTATGTGTGTGTGTGTGAATGTGTGTATGTGTGTGTGCGTGTGTGTGCGTGTATGTGTGTGAGCGTGTGTGCATGTGTGTGTGTGTGTGAGCGTGTGTGCATGTGTGTATGTGTGTGTGTGTGAGCGCGTGTGTGTGTATGTGTGTGTATGTGTGTGAGCGCGCGTGTGTGTATGTGTGTGAGCGCGTGTGTGTGAGCGCGTATGTGTGTGTATGTGTGTGTATGTGTGTGAGCGCGTGTGTGTGTGCATGTGTGTGTATGTGTGTGAGCGCGCGTGTGTGTATGTGTGTGAGCGCGTGTGTGTGTGCATGTGTGTGCATGTGTGTGCATGTGTGTGCATGTGTGTGTATGTGTGTGAGCGCGTGTGTGTGTGTGAGCGTGTGTGTGTGCGTGTGTGTGTGTGTGCGTGTGTGTGTGTGAGCGTGTGTGCGCATTCAACAGCCTGCTAAGGCTACACGCGGGGAATCCGTTGACTTCGTGTGTGCGTTCTGCGTTCCGTTTGGGGGCAAGTGCTGTTGGCGAGCGCCGATGAAGGCCGACACGAGGGGAGGGGAGCGGGGGGTCGTTGGTGTGTGGGTGACCACCACCACCACGACCACCACCACCACCACCACGCAGGTCGCCTTTGTCTCCTTAGTTCGGTACTCATTTGTGGCTGAGTCGACCTAAGGGGCGCGGCACGCGATTGCAGTGCGGGGCTAACAACAGTGGCGAGTCGCATTCACAAGAGGCGCACTGGCGGATGGAGAGAGCGCAGAGTGGAGGAGGTTGTTGTTGATGTTCGTAGCGTACACGTAGCGTACACGTGTGTGAGGCAGTAGCGTACACGTGTGTGAGGCAGTAGCGTACACGTGTGTGAGGCAGTAGCGTACACGTGTGTGAGGCAGTAGCGTACACGTGTGTGTGGCAGTAGCGTACACGTGTGTGAGGCAGTAGCGTACACGTGTGTGTGGCAGTAGCGTACACGTGTGTGTGGCAGTAGCGTACACGTGTGTGTGGCAGTAGCGTACACGTGTGTGTGACAGTAGCGTACACGTGTGTGTGACAGTAGCGTACACGTGTGTGAGGCAGTAGCGTACACGTGTGTGTGGCAGTAGCGTACACGTGTGTGCGGCAGTAGCGTACACGTGTGTGTGTGGCAGTAGCGTACACGTGTGTGAGGCAGTAGCGTACACGTGTGTGTGGCAGTAGCGTACACGTGTGTGTGGCAGTAGCGTACATGTGTGTGAGGCAGTAGCGTACACGTGTGTGAGGCAGTAGCGTACACGTGTGTGAGGCAGTAGCGTACACGTGTGTGTGGCAGTAGCGTACACGTGTGTGTGGCAGTAGCGTACACGTGTGTGTGGCAGTAGCGTACACGTGTGTGTGGCAGTAGCGTACACGTGTGTGTGGCAGTAGCAGTGTGGGAGGGATGTGGAGCGGTAGTGCAGTGGTTAGCACACCGGTGACGATTATCTGAACCGGTCCGGCGCCTTCCCCTAGGTCGACTCAGCCTCAAATGTGTACCCGGTGCGGTGTGTGAACATCGCCACTAGGGGAGACAAAGGCGGCCGGGCGTGGTTGCTGGCCACCCACCCCCTCGTGTGCCACAGTAACGGCCTTCATAGGTGCTCGCTAACAGCACTTGCCCCCAAACAGTCTGTTACAGGCTACACGGCTGGAGGGTGGTTGGGTAGTGGAATATTTTCGCCACCCGTGCCCACTGTAGCATCGTCATCCACGACCTGTCCACCGCTGGATGAAGGCCCAGGGCGTATCTCGCAGGGGCGGGCCCTTCTTTGCTATCCGTCTCTCTCTCTCCCTCTCACCTTACTCAAATATGATGTGAGTTTTAAATAGCCGAAACGCCATTTTCGTCGTGTTTTTATTTTATTTTAATATCCATCACATATATATATGTGTATGTGTGTGTGTGCAGCATCGAGCACACTGTAAATAAAACATACCGTGACACGAACAGCAACGGTTAATGTACATTGGGCGAACAGCAAGCTCGCCTTAAGACCCGTAGCGTTCCCGTGAGCATTCGGGATTTCGGACAATTATTATAATTGTAAATATGCACAGTAATAATACCCCCCCCACTCCCTCCCTCCCCCGCACTCAACGTCCCAGACAGCGTTGTCATCGTCTGTCCAGCCTCTCTATCCGTCGCCATCGTCACAGCCTTTCGGGAACTCATCCCCGACGCAAACCGGGGTATTACTCTAAATCTCTCTCTCTCTCTCTCGAGTAAAGTCCATTACAAAACCCGTCTCTCGCAGTGGACATGACGGACGGACGGATTTGTGAGCCTGCCACGGAGAAGAACACCCTCAGCAACGCGGATCTTTGCTTCTGTCCTTGTTCATCTTCTTCATCTTCATGCGCCGGTTCTGGAACCAGATCTTCACCTGACGCTCGGTGAGCGTGAGCACACGGGCCACCTCGTAGCGCCGGTCGCGCGTCAGGTACATGTTGAAGAGGAACTCCTTCTCGAGCTCCAGCGTCTGGAACTTGGTGTAGGGGCAGCGCTTCTTGCGAGAGGGTCGCGCGTGGATCCAGTTGGCCGTGGGGTTGTCTGCGGGTGCGGCACATGCGACAAAGCGGACGGTTTCCACGCACAGGATGAGCAGCGACATAGCCACCCGCAGGCACCGGCACGTAGATACAACCCCCCCCACCCCACCCCCAACCCCGTATAGGCTTAGCACGCTGTTGGGCCAAGTGCTGTTGGCGAGTTGCATCTCTGAAGGCCGGCACCACCAACACCACCAGCACGGCACCACCAGCACGGCACCACCAGCACGGCACCACCTGCACCACCAGCATGGCACCACCAGCACCACCAGCACCACCAACACGCCACCACCAGCACGGCACCACCAGCATGGCACCACCAGCACCACCAGCACCACCAGCACCACCAGCATGGCACCACCAGCACCACCAGCACCACCAGCACGGCACCACCAGCACGGCACCACCAGCATGGCACCACCAGCACCACCAGCACCACCAGCACCACCAGCACCATCAGAACGCCACCACCAGCACCACCAGCACGGCACCACCAGCACCACCAGCACGTCACCACCAGCACGGCACCACCTGCACCACCAGCAACACCAGCACGGCACCACCAGCACCACCAGCACGGCACCACCAGCACGGCACCACCAGCACCACCAGCACAGCACCACCAGCACCACCAGCACAGCGCCACCACCAGCACCACCAGCACCATCAGAACGCCACCACCAGCACCACCAGCACGGCACCACCAGCACGGTACCACCAGCACGGCACCACCAGCACCACCAGCATGGCACCACCAGCACCACCAACACGCCACCACCAGCACCACCAGCACCACCAGCACCACCAGAACGCCACCACCAGCACGGCACCACCAGCACCACCAGCACCACCAGCACGTCACCACCAGCACGCCACCACCTGCACCACCAGGAACACCAGCACCACCAGCACGGCACCACCAGCACCACCAGCACGGCACCACCAGCACCACTAGCACGGCGCCACCAGCACCACCAGCACAGCACCACCAGCACGGCACCACCAGCACCACCAACACGCCACCACCAGCACCACCAGCACCACCAGCACCACCAGCACCACCAGAACGCCACCACCAGCACGGCACCACCAGCACCACCAGCACCACCAGCACGTCACCACCAGCACGCCACCACCTGCACCACCAGGAACACCAGCACCACCAGCACGGCACCACCAGCACCACCAGCACGGCACCACCAGCACCACTAGCACGGCGCCACCAGCACCACCAGCACAGCACCACCAGCACGGCACCACCAGCACAGCACCACCAGCACGGCGCACGAGGAGGCGCGTGGCCTTCGGTTCGCCAGGTGCTCGTTTATTGCTGAGTGGACCTAGGCGAGGCCCGAGAGGGGTTCAAATCATCGTGTAGCAGGAAGTGAAGTCGGTTCGCCGGGTTCGTAGCCACGGTGCGCTCACCACGACACCTTCCCCACGCGTAGATGCATGCACAGAAACGCAGACATACGCAGAGACAGGCATACACGTATAGGATCGCAGAACACAAAGAAACACTGATACACAACAACAACAACAGCAGCCGCCATTTGCCACGATGTGGCGGTGACGTCGCCCCGCGCGCTTGTGCCATGCCAGGAGACACACAAACACAGGACTCTCATATATATAGAGAGAGACACAGACACACACACACAGTGGACTCTCATATAGAGAGAGACACACAGACACACACACATGACTCATATATAGAGAGAGACACAGACACACACACAGGACTCATAGAGAGAAAGAGAGACACAGACACACACAGACACAGGACTCATATAGAGAAAGGGACACAGACACACACACAGGACTCATAGAGAGAGAGAGACACAGACACACACAGACACAGGACTCATATAGAGAGAGAGTCACAGACACACAGGACACATATAGAGAGAGACACAGACACACACACAGGACTCATATAGAGAGACACACACACAGGACTCATATATAGAGAGAGAGACAGAGACACACACAGACACAGGACTCATATAGAGAGAGACATAGACACACACACAGGACTCATGTATAGAGAGAGAGACACAGACACACACACACACAGGACTCATATAGAGAGAGACATAGACACACACAGGACTCATAGAGAGAGAGACACAGACACACATGACTCATATATATAGAGAGAGACAGACACACAGGACTCATATAGAGAGAGATACACAGACACACACACAGGACTCATATAGAGAGAGACAAAGACACACACACAGGACTCATATATATAGAGAGACACAGACACACACAGACACAGGACTCGTATAGAGAGAGACACACACACACACAGGACTCATAGAGAGAGAGACACACAGGACTCTCATATAGAGAGAGACACAGACACACAGGACTCATATAAAGAGAGACACAGACACAAAGGACTCATATAGAGAGAGACACAGACACACACACACAGGACTCAAATAGAGAGAGAGACACAGACACACAAGACTCATATAGAGAGAGACACAGACACACAGGACTCATAGAGAGAGACACACAGGACTCATATAGAGAGAGACACAGACACACAGGACTCATATAGAGAGAGACACAGACACAAAGGACTCATATAGAGAGAGGCACAGACACACACACACAGGACTCAAATAGAGAGAGAGACACAGACACACAAGACTCATATAGAGAGAGACACAGACACACAGACACAGGACTCATACACAGAGAGACACACAGACACACACGCACACACACAGGACTAATATATATAGAGAGAGACACAGACACACACAGACACAGGACTCATATAGAGAAAGAGACAGACACACACATCAGACTCATATTGAGAGAGACACAGACACACACAGTGGACTCATAGAGAGAAAGAGAGACACAGACACACACACACAGGACTCATATAGAGAAAGAGACACAGACACACATATGACTCATATAGAAAGAGAGACACAGACACACACACAGGACTCATATAGAGAAAGGGACACAGACACACAGGACTCATATAAAGAGAGAGACACAGACACCCACACACACAGGACTCATATAGAGAAAGAGACACAGACACACAGGACTCATTTAGAGAAAGAGAGACACAGACACACACAGACACAGGACTCATATATAGAGAGAGTCACAGACACACAGGACTGTCATATAGAGAGAGACACAGACACACACACACAGGACTCATATATAGAGAGACAGAGACACAGGACTCACATAGAGAGAGAGACACACACAGACACACACACACAGGACTCATATATAGAGAGAGACACAGACACACAGGACTCATATAGAGAAAGAGAGACACAGACACACATAGACACAGGACTCACATAGAGAGAGACACACACAGGACTCATATAGAGAGAGAGACACAGACACACACAGACACAGGACTCATATATAGAGAGACACAGACACACACACAGGACTCATATAGAGAGAGACACACAGGACTCATATATATATAGAGAGAGAGACACAGACACACACAGACTCAGGACTCATATATAGAGAGAGACACAGACACACAGGACTCATAGAGAGAGAGAGAGACACAGACACAGACACACAGGACTCATAGAGAGAGAGAGACACAGACACACACAGACACAGGACTCATATATAGAGAGTCACGGACACACAAGACTGTCATATAGAGAGAGACACAGACACACACACAGGACTCATATATAGAGAGACAGAGACACAGGACTCACATAGAGAGAGACACACACAGACACACACACAGGACTCATATAGAGAGAGAGAGACACAGACACACAGGACTCATATAGAGAAAGAGAGACACAGACACACATAGACACAGGACTCATATATAGAGAGAGACACACACAGGACTCATATAGAGAGAGAGACACAGACACACACAGACACAGGACTCATATATAGAGAGAAACAGACACACACACAGGACTCATATAGAGAAAGACACACAGGACTCATATATATAGAGAGAGAGAGACACAGACACACACAGACACAGGACTCATAGAGAGAGAGAGACACAGACACACAGGACTCATAGAGAGAGAGAGAGACACAGACACAGACACACAGGACTCATAGAGAGAGAGAGACACAGACACACACAGACACAGGACTCATAGAGAGAGAGAGACACAGACACACACAGTGGACTCATAGAGAGAGAGAGAGACACAGACACAGACACACAGGACTCACATAGAGAAAGAGACACAGACACACATGTCTCATAGAGATAGAGACACAGACACAGACACACAGAGCTCATATAGAGAAAGAGACACAGACACACAGGACTCATATATAGAGAGACACAGACACACAGGACTCATATATAGAGAGAGACACAGACACACAGGACACATAGAGAGAGACACAGACACAGACACGCAGGACTCATGTAGAGAAAGAGACACAGACACACAGGACTCATATATAGAGAGACACAGACACGCAGGACTCATATAGAGAGAGACACAGACACACACACGCATGACTCATGTAGAGAGAGAGAGACACAGACACACACACGACTCATATAGAGAGAGACACAGACACACACACACAGGACTCATATATAGAGAGACACAGACACACAGGACTCATATAGAGAGAGAGACACAGACACACACACAGGACTCATATAGAGAGAGAGAGAGACAGACACACACACACACAGGACTCGTATAGAGAGAGACACAGACACACACACACACACAGGACTCATATATAGAGAGACACAGACACACAGGACTCATATAGAGAGAGAGACACAGACACACACACAAGACTCATATAGAGAAAGAGACACAGACACACACTGGACTCATAGAGAGAGAGAGAGACACAGACACACACAGGCCTCATATAGAGAGAGACACAGACACACAGGACTCATATAGAGAGACACAGACACACACATGCAGGACTCTTATAGAGAGAGAGAGAGAGACAGACACACACACACAGGACTCG